CACAGGGTAAAAGATCAAGGGGAAGACCTCGTGGAACCTGGAGAAGAGTCACGGAAATGGATGTACAGAAAAGTGGGAAGACGTGGAGTGACATCAAGCGACTAGCCCAGGATAGGGAAAGGTGGAGAGTGTTTGTTCATGGCCTATATCCTGCCCCAGGGGGAGAAAGGCAATGATGAATACCGGATCCCTGTTAAATCAGATATGCAAGGGAAATAAGCCTGTGAAGCCTAATCCAGCTGTATTTATTCATGAGTAGTTTCCCTTGCTACAAGTACCACAAACAGGGTTTTGGTCGTGTGGCAGGCCTGCGCATGACATATTACACGGGCGTGTAGCTTGACTTAGGGCTAGATCGAAGTCTGCAGCACACCCGCAGCCCTCTCTCGCTTCACTCGCTGCGTGTGCTTGCAGTGGCGTGTCTTGCGTGGGCTTGCTCCATCACTGCATTACTCTCTCTCTCTCTCTCTCTCTTAGTTTTTACTTTTTTCACATTGTTAACGAGTTTAGTCCCTGCTATAACAGAATGGGCTCCGATGAGGCCCTGTTATTGCTGATAACTTTTAATAGAGACAAAAAGTAGGAAAAACCGGGGATTTAAAAAATCACTGTTTTTACATATGTTTACATATGTTTTTACCATATATAACAGGCCCAGTAATAACAGGGATCCGGTAAAAAGAGTGATTTTTTAAATCCCCATTTTTACCGGATCCCTGTTATTACTGGGCCTGCTATATATGGTTTCCACAGTACGTAGTAACACATACACAGCTGTACATTTCCGGATAAAGGCGTACGTAAGGCAGGATGGCCAAAATTCAGATTTTAGTTCTTAGTTTTAGTAGGAGTTTTACAGCACTTGCAACACAATAAAAAGGTTATATAAGTGCTGAAGATTAGAGGTGTTACAAGAGAGTAAGAAACACAACAAAGAAGGAGGGGAGATAAGGACGATAGATGTTTGATTGGGAAGAAGAAGCAGCAGCAATTCAGGTATTGATATGACGAAAAACAAACGCAGAGTACACATTATTATATATAATAATGAATAGCATTTATATTGCACATTTCCATTTTGTAAAAAAATGCTCAATGTGCATACAACGAAAAAGACATTACATCTTTAAAATTAATCAACATGCGTGTACGTAAAACAATTTTTGGGCATGTGGAGTTATTGGTATCACCTAAAAGCTTATTTATTTCCCTTGCTTTCAGTGAAAAAAGTACCCACCTATCTAAAATAAAAGTCAAGATATTTACAATTGAAAGAGGTGAGATCGCCTTTTTTCAGTGCTGAAGTTAGCGAGAAATTGGCCTCCAAAGTTTGGTAACTTTAATAGATAAAAAGAGTGCTTGAATACAAAAAAATGACATATTTTGTGCCTTTAATCAACGAGTTTCAGTAAAATTTGCATTGAAATGTTTTTATATGGACATAAATGGGGTTGAGCCAAAAAACAAAAATTCGATAAAAATTGCCAAACTGACGGGTAAACGCCTGTTTCTCCAGTTTTGTTATTTTGACGAGCGCCTGATTTCACCATGATGTCTCACCTATAGGTTGGCATCACGGTAAATCTTTACTTTCACTCCCTCACACAGACGCACTGTTTTGGGGGGTCAAACTGTAGTATGTATTTTTTTGCTGCAGATCACACATACACATAATTTGTGACTAAAACTAAAACTGTTGTTAATCAATTATTTTCAAGAAAATTTCAAACTTAGCTAGCTACAAAACATCAAATTATAGGTTAATTGGGTGTGTGTGGGGGTGGGGGGGGGGGGGGCATGTCGCCCTGTAACTCCCCCAGATTTTTTTTTTACTTCTGGGTGGGGGGAAGAAAGGAAGTTCCATTGAAAACCATCAAATATTTGAAAAACTATTAATTTGCGAAGGGAAATGAAGTTGATATTCATGTTCAGCGCATCAATACATTATTATATAGTAGAACATGGACACATAGCAGTAGGTAATTGTGAAATGGGAGAGAAAGTAAAAAAAATACTGACATCACATCCAGGGTGGAAGATTCTGATGGTATAGGTCCTGCTTGTTTTCTTTCCCTCTGTCACTGCTGTCTGTCTGTCTGTCTGTCTGTCTGTCTGTCTGTCTGTCTGTCCGTCCGTCCGTCTGTCTGTCGGTCTGTCTGTCAGTCTGTCTGTCGGTCTGTCTGTCTTTCCTTTGACACGCACAAAATGGTTGTTCAGTTTTTTAAAATTTTGTAGGAGTTTTATGGCACTTGCAACACAAATAGGTCACAAAAGATCTAAAGATTGGAGGTGTTACAAAGAAAAGAAGGTTTTAGCTTTAGTTTTAGTCAGGGTTTTATGGCACTTGCAACACAATAGGGTCATGTAAGTGCCGAAATTAGAGGTGTTACAAGAGAGTAACACACACACAAAAGGAGGAGAGATCAGGACGACAGATGTCTGATAGGAAAGAAGGAGCAAAACACACCAGAGCACTCGCCAACCAGGAGAGATAAGGACGATAAATGTTTGAACAAGGCAGGAAACAGATTGTCAAGCATTGCGGCGCATACAAGGCAATCTAACATTGCAATGATGATGGACAAGCAACTTCATTTTAGCCCACACGTGAATTAGACATCGTTCCCTTGCACCTAGCAGATTTTAATTTTAACGTTACCACTTTGGAAACTAAAAAAGGGGAGATGCAATAATATTATGGGAATGAAACCACAATCCACACCACAGTTGCTTGTCCATTATCATTACAAATATTATATAAAGACAAACATAAGGCAAGAAGACAAACACTGGGTATTAATAAAATTTAAAAAAAAACAAAAACAAAATACACATTACATAGACTCATCCATTGTGAGAGGGAGCTACTGACAGGTCCTATCTACTTTTTTTTCACCCCCCTCCAGCTTGTGGTTGAATGATGCATCTAATCTGATATAATGTACAATGTGTCAGCTTTACTTCTCTTTTCATATATTTGAATTTTAATGAGAGTAATATATCATTTGAATTTTTATGTATACCTGCATGTGTTTTTACGGTCCTGTACAGGCAAGAAATATTTCCCTCTGGGATAATAAAGTATTATCTTATCTTTTCTTTGGTTGCTGTATATTCATCTTTTTAGTTTTAGTAGAGTTTTTTCGACGCTCGCAACTGCATAAGGTCATATGAGCGCCAGAAGATTAGAGGTGTTACATGAGAGTAACAAACATAAAAGAAGAAGGGGAGATAAGGACGATATTATATGTTTGATAGGAAAGAAGAAGCAAACCACACCAGAGCACCCGCCAACCACCCACGTCTATTCATCTATCATTTTCCAAGCACAAAATGGCTGCTGAGTTTTATTGTATAGATGTGTTTCTCTTTTCTCTAACTAAAACTGGTCTTAGTGACTACAAGGAAGAAGCAAGGCAAGCATACAGTTCTATTTAATGAAAGCGACAGGACAAAGGAAGAATCAACATGCATACATATATTATTTCATACTGTCATCACTATGAGCTATTTAGTCATTGTCAGACTGATGTTGTTGTTGTTGTTATTGATCCAGCAACAGCTGGGCTCTCGCCCTTCTGTCTAATGCCATGTAGTGATAAGTGCAGGTTTGCTGCAGTTGCTGTAATGTTTCGTAGAGTGTGTTGTCAATGTTAGGTCTCAGAGGGAGAAGTGTAGCTCTGATACGTCATTTAGGGCTGTGCAGTGGATCATTGTCAGATCAGGGGTGTGAGACTACCATTTTTGTATATCGATTCAATGACTGTTTGCAAGTGTGGGTCTGTGTATGTCAGTGAGTGTGTGTGTGTGCGTGTGTGTGTGTGTGTGTGTGTGTGTGTGTGAGA